CTTTCCTGCTGTCCACTGAAGCCGCGTTCCACGGACACGTATGTGGGCCTCCCTGCTTTCAGCATCCCTATTCCCATTTCATGGCTGCGTCCTGGCCTCCAACTTTCTGCAGCTTCTGAGAAAACAAGTCAACAGCTCCCGGTGAAGAGTCCCATTTCCACCTGACTAGTGACAATAGACTCTACACATGAATAGAGACCTAAGCATGGCGGGTGGGGGGAGTCATGAAGTGTGAGCTAGGTCCTCCGTGTGATTGGAGAAAGCTTGGGTTTCAAATGTCCTCCAAGGCTGGGCCCGGTGTCACATGGTGTCACATGTCTTTATACCCTGTACTAGGGAGACAGAGCCAGGAGGATCTCTGTGAGTTCGAGGCCAGCCTGGTCTACAAAGTGAATTCCCGGACAGCCAGGGCTGTTAACATAGAGAAACTCTGTCTGGAAAAATAAAAGTCCTCTAAAGGCATATGAATTCAACACTTGTCACTCTTGGAAGGTGTTGAAAATTTCAAGAGGAGGGGGCCTTGTGGGAGGTCTTCTGGTCATTGGGTGTACGGACCTGTGAGGAAAGCAGGGCCCTGACCTTCCTTTCCTTTTTGTGAGTAGCTTTGAGGTGTGTGTCCCGGTCATGACAACTGGACTCACACAGGCCATAAACGACGGGGCCGAGGACTCACAGGCTGGGGTCTCTAAGGCAGCAAAACAAACCTCTTTCTTTTTCTTATTCTTTTTCCCCGTGTCACCCTGGCTGTCCTGGAACCCGCTCTGTAGACCAGGCTGGCCTCGAACTCAGAAGAGATCCGTTTGCCTCTTCTGGGATCAAAGGTAAGTGCCATCACCGCCCGGCACAAACCTCTTTCCAATTAAAGCTGATTACTTCAGGTTATCTATTGGAGTAATTGTGTTAGTCAGTTTTTGGTTGTTGCGACAAAATGCCTGAGAAAAATCAAAGGAGGAGAGACTTCTTTGGGATCACGGTTTCAGATTCAGTGGTGGTTCTATTGCTTTGGTCCAAAATCTAACATCATGATGGGGAGTATATGGTGAAGCAAAGAGAGAAGGAGAGAGAAAGAGGGGGCAGAGAGAAAGGGAGGGAAGGAGGGAGGGAGGGAGGGAGGGAGGGAGGGAGGGAGAGCCAGAGAGGGAAATACATGGATGAACTAAGGAGAAGACATGCCATTTACAGGCGTATTTCTTCCAGTTAGGCCCCGCCTCCAGACAGCCAATTCAGTAAGAACACCTCACCTGATAAACTCATTGATAAGTTTAGCACTCTCATCGGATCGCTTGTCAATTGTGCTCTTATCTGGGAAACAAGCCTTGAACACGTGAGCCTTTAGGGAGTATTTATATCCAGCATCGATAGATAACTAATGTGGTGTGGACACACACACACACACACACACACACACACACACACACACGGACATGAACACACACACACACACACACACACACACACACGGACACACACACACACAGCAAGATAAGATGGGTTGAATGTAGGCACCTGTAGACCAGGGGTTCTCGTGCGCCTTTAATCCCAGCACTCGGGAGGCAGAGGCAGGCGGTTCTCTGTGAGTTCGAGGCCAGCCTGGTCTACCAAGTGAGTTCCAGGAAAGGCGCAAAGCTACACAAAGAAACCCTGTCTCGAAAAAACAAAAACAAAACAAAACAAACAAACAAACAAACAAAAAGAATTGCTGGAAGGGCTTATTAAGTCGCCGATGCCTATATCCTACCTACAGAGTTTCTGATTCTGTGAGTTTCAGGTAAAGCCAGAGAACTTGTTCCTTCAAGTTGCCAAGAGATGCTGCTGTTGCTGATGTGAGGACCACATTTTGGGAACCGTCGTCTGCATCTGCTAGCTCTTTGCTCACATCTAAGGCTGGGTGGGACTAGGTTAATTGTTATGACTGAGGACTCTTGGGGCTGACAGAGCCCAGACTTTCCTCTGCATCGGGAAAGAAGATCTATTAACTAATTGTTCCTAGGTGTCCTCAGAAGGTGGCGAAGACTCTTTCACGTCTGGAGTTTATTCTAGCACAGACCCAGTTTAACAGCTTCAGGCAGGTTTAAACATCTCCTTGGGTAAGTCCTAGTATCCCTGCTCCAGCTCCTGCTGGGGGATGATAGCCCTAAGAGGTGTTAGGAGATTAGGCTGAAAATGTAGGTCACACCGGCAGCCGTCTGGGAATCATGATGAGTGAGTGAGCGAGGAGGAGAGAAGATTGACACACACAGGGAAAAGGTGAGAGGAAGCAGAGGGCTCCTGAGGGCAGTTACAAAAGCGTGTCTGATGACTATGTTGTGACTAGATTTTAGCCTCTTTTGCTATCCTGAGGAAAGACCAGGAGTCTGGCCTCTCTTTCCTGACCCTTCTCTCAAGCGGGGCTGCTTGTCTAGGGGTTGGGTTATTAAGAGTGAGATTCTTCGTGGAGAAAGTTGCTTATCTTTCTAATACAGCGACTCTGGGAGGCATAAGGCCAGCCTGGGTGAAGGTGGATCGGGGGCTGAAATACTAGGATACTTGAAAAGAGGAAGCAGATCCGTCCATCTGGATGAGAATGGGCTGGGAGAGCATATACATCCCACAGACGTAGATGGGCGGTGCAGAGTCTTAAAAGATGGGGTTTCTGGGAGTTCGTCTGGACTCTACCAGCCCTAGGCTGAGTGACCGAGCTGAGGGCTGTGTTCACCTGGAGGGTGGTGCTTGGGCCACTGTGACTCTTTGGATTGGAAACCGAGCACATGTCAAAGTGTGGCCACCAATCAGGAGCTGTCTTGGGGGGAAGATGCCCTTTTTTCTTTTTTGAGAACTGGTGGTACCTGTCCTTCACCGTCCTCTGCATCCCTGCCCCAGGCCAATGAGATATGCGAATAAGCCCATTATCTCATTGGCTGAGGCTTGAGAACCACAGATGATCTCAGAGAACTAGCCCTTTAAGAGTGCCCTTTGGGCACTGTTCCTACAGCCCCCCTTGTTCTGAATACAGGGACGCCAGACCCTGCTCTATGGAGTCTCTAGTCTCTGGGGAAACTGTGCCTCTCGGGTTCTGAGACTGACTACGTCGTCTCCGACATTCCTAACGTGAGTATATCTGGTGGCCCACCTGGGTGCTAGGTCTGCCATGTAGAGTCCCTCCTCCGATCCCGGCAGTCTGTTCTCTGTCATATCTGTCGTACTCACTCCTCGGTGTCCTGTCTCATTCCCACTCTGGATTCTATCACATCAGAAAGATAAGAAACTTTCCCTGCTTAATGGTTTGCCAACCCCCTCTCTCTGGACACCTCTCTCAGTGCCTCGCCATCTCCTTCTTGCCAAGCACTGGTTCCTTCCGGCACCCCTGTCCTCCCGGGCTTGAGTGGTTCTGTAGAGGACGGCTCTCCCCTGGGAAGGCAGAGAAGCCTTGTCTGCTCCTCCACCTCTCCGGTCAGAGTGTGGAAGTCTGAGATGTGGCTGAAGAAAAGAGGGACTCAAGAGGCAGCTAAAGTGCAGGAGCTGGGGGGTGAGACTCCGCCAAGGTCCCCGTCTGGGCCTGGGGGTGTGCCTCGTGTGCCTGGTGGCACTGGACCGGAGCTGGGACTTCCAGATTGGGGAGTGTCAAGTATGTGGTAAACTGGCCGCAGGAGAACATGGGAGAGTTCCTTAGCATTGTCAATTTGGTGCACTCCGCGTTAAATGTATTTTTGTGCTTATGAATCTGCAAGAGATGGGGCTAAGAGGGAGCCTTCCCTAGATTATCTGCATAGAAACCTCTCCTAGGGTATTTCTCAGAATTGGTGTTCCACAGAACACTCTCTGGGGAAGTTTTCGACTCTAATTGCCTGCAGTGAGCAGCAGCAGGATCTGAAGGCGAAGGCAGTCTGCTCAAACTCACATGGCAGGTTCTAAATCAAAGAAGATCTGTCTTCATGGGTTCTCTTCAGAGAGACTGGCCTTGAGGAGAGAGAGTGGCCGCTTGGTCCAGATCTTTCTAGAACCTTTCCCCCCATAGAAAGCCTCTTATTGAAGAAGAGATTTGTCTATTGACTAACCCACAGGACAAATGTGTAACTGCCACTGTCCTGAAGGCTTTGAGAGATAAAGGTAACAGCACAATGTTCTTCTACCCTAAAATTAACAACAGTGTCTTTCCACTGTCCTAACACACACACATACATGCAGGGAGAGAGCCATACACACACATGCACAGCCACATACACACACACAGAACCACTTATACACATGCACACACAGCCACACACACACACTGAGAACCACTTGTACACATATACACACAGCTACACAGCCACACACACACACACAGAGAACCACTTATACACATATACACACAGCCACACACACACACACAGAACCACTTATACACACACACACACACACAGCCACATACACACACACACACACAGCCACATACACATACACACACACAGTTAATAAAGCTCAAATTTTAATTGCTTGTAAATGGAATTGTGCCTCTGGAGATGACAGTTTCTTCAGCCATATACACACAGACACACAGACACACACACACACAGAACCACACACACACACACATATATATGTATATATATATACACACACAGAGAGCTACATATACAATACACACATATACACACAGCCACATACACACACACACACACACAGTTAATTAAGCTCAAATTTTAATTGCCTGTAAATGGAATTGTGCTTCTGCAGATGAAGAGTTTCTCCAGCCATATACACAGAGCCACACAGACACACAGAATCACATATACACGTATACACACAGCCACACACCCACACCCACACCCACACACACACAGAGTTAATTAAGCTCGAATTTTAATTACCTGTAAATGGAATTGTGCCTCTGGAGATGACAGAGCTTCTTGGCATGTGCCAGCACTGGGGTTGGGAGCACTGCCATGGTGCTCTTGTTTTTCACGGATCCCAGGGGCACCGAAGGGGTGAGAGGCCGCTGTCCGTTTTGTCCTCCAGGCCTCCAGCTCCTTGTTGTGTGTCGGGAGCTGCCCGGCAGTCACTGTGCAGGGAAGAGGGCTGCATTATTGCTCTGGGGTCCCAGAGCTCTAGTGTCGGGGCGCTTGGGTCTGGAGGGAAGCAGGTGTAGTGAGAGGGATGGCGGGCAGCCTCCCGAGTGTTCAGACCTTTCCTTTTTCTTGCAGGAACACCTCTCTCAGCTCAGTCCAGAATGGCTCTTCCCCCGAGTCCCCTGGCTATGGAATATGTTAATGACTTTGATTTGATGAAGTTTGAAATAAAACGGGAACCCTCCGAGGGCCGACCTGGACTCCCCACAGCCTCACTGGGCTCCACTCCTTACAGCTCAGTGCCCCCCTCACCCACCTTCAGTGAGCCAGGCATGGTGGGCAGCAGCGAGGGCCCCAGGCCAGGCCTGGAGGAGCTGTATTGGTTGGCCACCCTGCAGCAGCAGCTAGGGGCTGATGAGGTGCTGGGACTAAGTCCTGACGAGGCTGTGGAGCTGCTGCAGAATCAGGGCCCAGTCCCTGTAGAAGGGCCCCGTGGCTACTATTCAGGGAGCCCAGGAGAGACAGGAGCCCAGCACGCCCAGGTGAGTGACCCAGGTTAGTCTGAGGGGAGGAAGACCTGGGGGAGGTGACCAGCTCTTAAGAGAGGGAGAACTCCTGGAGAGGGTTGTGGACTGGAAAGAGACAGGGCTAGGTCCTTGAGAAAACTACATCGATTGTTCAAAATGGTAGGAAATAGTTGAATTATGGGGAACAGAGAGAAGACAAGGAGGAAGCCAAGAGTTGTGGTTCACGCCTTTAATCCCGGTACTCAGGAGGCAGACTCAGGCAGATTTCTGTGAATTAGAATCCTGCCTGGTCTAATTAGTGTGTTCCGGGCCAGCCACGGGCTACACAGCGAGACCCCGTCAAAAAACAAAACAAAAGATTAGAAGGGGCCTCAAAGGGAAAAGGGCTTAGAATTTAAGAGCGTTGTGGGGGATGAGCGATTATGTAGTAGCAAATAGATAAAGGATGTGTGGAACCTGGCTGGGTACAGGCTGTGGTTGAAGTTGGCTTTTTCAAGGCTCCGTGTTTCCCCCAGCGCCCAACCTTCTCAGAAAGGATTGGGACTCATCCTATTAATTATAGACACAGATGGGGGTGTTGAGGGCATTACGATGTAATCCAAATCCTCGAGGGTCACTGGGTTGTGGTGTTGAGGACAGGGAAACGTGTGGTCTGTGGCAAGGGCAGGATCTGTCTGGGCGCGGGTCCCCTGGACATTGCGGACAGTTGAAGGGTACGCAGTGTCCAGAGGCACGATTGGTTCGCCAGAGCAGGGGGGCGGAGCTCACACTGCGACACTTGAGGAAGGACCACAAGGGTGTGTGTGTGTGTGTGTGTGTGTGTGTGTGTGTGTGTGTGCGCTTAGCCGTGTGTAGCCCTGGGGTCCAGGACGTGTCGGGACTCCTTGGGGTGGGGTCTGTAGGAAGAGCGAGCATGCAGCAGGTGAAGGTGGACACCCGCACCGATCTGGTCCCTGCATTCTTCCTCCGCAGCTGCCGGAGAGATTTTCGGACGCGGCGCTGGTCTCGATGTCTGTGCGCGAGCTGAACCGGCAACTGCGGGGCTGCGGGCGCGACGAGGCTCTGCGGCTGAAGCAGAGGCGCCGCACGCTCAAGAACCGCGGCTACGCGCAGGCCTGCCGCTCCAAGCGGCTGCAGCAGCGGCGCGGGCTGGAGGCCGAGCGCGCCCGCTTGGCCGCCCAGCTGGACGCACTGCGGGCCGAGGTGGCCCGCCTGGCTCGCGAGCGCGACCTCTACAAGGCCCGCTGCGACCGGCTGACCTCCAGCGGCCCCGGGTCCGACGACCACGCGCACCTCTTCCTCTGAGCCTCTAGGGCAGGAGGTGGGGCGGTTTGGAGGTGTCGGGGTAGACAGGAGAGTATGCCACTCACCAAATCGCTACCTGTGGTCCTGAGTGTGTCTATACAAATATCCCCAAACTTCTGACCCTCGTGGCATGCCTGAGGTTAGATGCTCGTCCTTTGCTGGAGATGAGTCCCCTTCCCTTTTGCAGGCCATGACTCCTCGTGATTAGGGCACTGAATTCTGCAGGGGCTAGCTAGTGCCTGTACCGAGGGTGGAGGTGTGGAGGATGGGTGGGTGGCATGCTCAACAGGAGGAGAGGGAGGGGGGCCAGCGCCGCCCTTCAGTCTAGTTCTTAATTCAAGGTTTTCAACGTGTAGTGCATTGATGCTGTAATTAACAATGAAGCTGCATTTCCACTGAAATTCGGGACTCCCCATTTTAGGGCTACTGAATTTTCAAGATTTCAGTTCCTCCAAAGAGGGTAGTAGGTTAACTCAAGATGCTTTTCCCTGCTCAACCCAGTGGCCTTTAGAGTCCAAAGCAGCAGAACAAACACTCTGGATGGGAGCCTGGAGACCTGGGCACTAGTCTCAAATGGTGTCACAGGCCATATGTCTGTCACCTTAAGCAAAGCAATTGCCATTGGATTCCAATGACTTCATCTAACTTTTTATTTGGATTGGACGGCTTCTGACATTGTTTCAGTTTTGGCATCCACCACAGTGAGCAAGTCTAAATGGTCTAGACACCCAAGAGGCCCCAAGATGACTGTACCCAAAGGACATCCTGTTCTGCCCCAGCCTCCTAGGCGGTAGACACCGCAGCCTGGCTTCTCCGGAGCGCTCACTTGCGCTGGCCCTCTGCGGCTCCCTCTAGGCTGGCTTGGCCTTCGAAGGGCGGAGGGTGCCCCTGCTGCTACCTCTTGCCACTCAGAGCTGAAGTGAGACCTCACAGGGTAACCAGAAGCTGAGAGAGTGTGAATTAAACCTGACGTCCAGGAAAAATTCAGGTTATTGGTTAAACATTCTTGCAATTTAAAATAGAGTTAATTCTCTACCACTGCTTCAGGCTACTGTCTTGTGTGTCTGCTGTGAGAATGAAACCGATGAGAGAGGTGGAGGAGGGGGGGAGAGGTTTTTTTTTTCCTGGGGGGGGCATCTGCTGTAGCTCAGTGGTAGACTGCTTGGCTAATTTGTGCCGAGAGATAGACCCATTATGGAGCGGAGCAGAGCACATCTCCGTTCTAGAAGGCCAATGAAAGTGGATTGGAGGGGGTGGGGAATGGTCCAGATGGAGCCTCCCTCACCACCACCACCACCACCACCACCACCACCACCACCACCACCACCACCACAACCAAAGCCCAGGAGCAGTAGTGGCCCTAGCTAGGCCTGTCTGTGGCTGTCCTCCAGGCCTCGCCGTTGCCATGGCAACCCAGCCCTCCAGTTCAGCCACATATGGGGAGGGCCTTTGGGCAGAGCAGAGGCTTTGAGCTGGGAGGAGTGTCCACCTCGTCAGCTGCTGTCATCTGTCCTCCGAGGGCCGTAATAAACGGGAGAAGCAGTCCTGTGTGGGGGAGGCGGCTCCCATATGTCTTTCTTCCTTTCTGCCCCCACTACCCACCCCCTGACCAGCTGTCTCTTCTCTTCCCATCGCATTTCTCGTTCCCTCTGTCCCCTCCTCTAGCCTAGCTCATCCTTAGTCTCTGCAGGAGGCTCCAAGAGGAGTCCTTTCCTGCAGCCCCTGCCCGGCCCTCTGCCTTGCCTGCCCCCTGACCAGTGTGGCCTTCCTCTCTGGCGTGGGTTCCTCTCGGTGAGGACTCAGCATCTTTCTCTTTTACAGTTGTTGTTGCAGGGAGAGGCTGGGGCAGGGGGAGCCCACCCAGGATCTGAGCTCTTCTTACTCTGCATTTCCTTTCTCCTATGTAGCCCAGGCTGGCCTCAAACTGCGTCTACCTTTCCTTTTCTTTCCTTTTTCTTTCTTGAGACCTAGCTGGCCTGGAACTCACTTTGTAGACCAAGCTGGCCTTGAACTCATGGTGATCCACCTGCCTCTGACTCGTGTGCTGGGTGCTGGGATCAAAGGCATGTGCCACTCCCCTTGGCCATGCTTTCTGAGTACCCGGATTACAGGCACGGGCCCATCTCCCGCCTTCCCCTTTACTCTGAATTTCATTTGTGTCCTGTTGGGGGAGTTCCTGACCTATTCTGTCCTTTGGAGCCTCAATCCAGACCCATTGATTCCCTGGCTTCCCTTTCTTATTTGCACGGCATACAAGGACAGAGACACTGTCCTCAGACACTTACGCCCACAAACCAGGCCACAGCACGCATACACCAGGTCTCAAGATGGCGCGTCTAGACCCCATGGATGGCAAAGATGCTGGAGTGATGAAGAGTGTGGGTGTTGTGGCCAGGCAGCTATGGTTCCGGCTCTTTTCTGACCTTGGAGAGTTAAAATCAAGCCTTACTCGCTGTCAGGAAAACAGAGAAATAGTGCTCTTACTCGCTACCACATACAGTGTTCTGTCTACACGCCAGAAGAGGGCACCAGATCTCATTAAAGATGGTTGTGAGCCACCATGTGGTTGCTGGGGTTTGAACTCAGGACCCCTGGAAGAGCAGTCAGTGCTCTTAACCTCAGAGCCACCTCTCCGGCCCTGACTTGATATCACAATACACATATTTAAAGGAGCCGAGTGTGACGAGTGTGCTGTGTGTTGAAGAACAATCCACATTGCTGTTGCCGATGACGTCATCAGCACGAGTACCCGGCTGGATTTCCGGAAACCTCAGGCTGCACTCACAGAGGCCTGGGTCTGTGTGGTGCATGAACACTCCACCAGGAAAGCCAGGCCTCACAGACCTCAGATGTCCTCTCTGGGCTCCTAACTCGTTTGCAGACCTGCTGCACCCCTTCACGCCCCACCACCCCTCCTTGGCCTGCCCCGCAGCTGTGTGGGGGCTGGGGTTCAGCCCCTGGGGTACTCAGCGGGGCCTCTGTGGAGACAGCTCTAAGGAAGCATTAGCCTGCCCTCCTGACAGCCTCTCATTACCCTTCCCCATCTCCTGCAATTAACACCCATGGTGCTTAGACCCCCTGGGCTTGGGAGGTGAGGGTGGGGGCCCCTTAGCTCCCACCGGCACACAGTTGGGGGGCCCCAGAGACAACAGCCTGCTTGGGGGAGCTCTGGCTCAGATTTGGAAAGAGACAGGGCCCCATTTTCTCTGGTATATGTGGGAGTGATGGGCTCTCCAACAGGCACCTGAGGCATGATGGGTAGATGGGGGTAGTTCCCTTTATTAACACTCATAAAGCCACAATCACTGAGGGGAGCTGTTGGGGGTCCACAGAGGTGAGGGCCATGAGGCTTGAAGAGGTGGGAGCAGGACCCACCACTCACTTCCAGGACTCACAGGGCACCACTGGTCCAAGAGGCAGAGACACGGGTCACTGGAGCCAAGGGTCAGCACAGGCACCTGAGAAGAGCAGGATGGCCACGGGCAACTGCCCCAGCCACGGCAGGCAGCCTAGACGAGTCGTTCCGAAGCCCCACGTGGAACCCCCTTGGCGCCCACCCTTCGGTTCCCCAGGACTCACTGAAAGACTGAGGGAGTGTTCGTTTGTCGAGAGGCAGTCATCACGGGCTGGGGCTGGGGGTCACAGCCGGTGTAGAGGGCCTTGGAGCTCCTGGACTGATACCCTGGCTGGCGTAGTACTCCACCACCTGCCGCGGCACCTCCGCCAGGACACACTTGGCTAGTGCGGAGGGCGCGGCCTGGGGAGGGAAGGAGGTTGGTTAGGGGCAGGAGAACCGGGGGCAGATGGGTCAAACGAGGGACCGGTGGGGCTCTGGTGTGGCGGGCTGGAGTCTAGCGCTCTTCGAAGGACGTCAGGAAGATGAGAAAGATTTGGAGGGCATGAACTGTTGAGGAGCCCTTTCCCTGGGAGAGAGGACCCAATACTCACATCCTTGAAGTCCCTGAAGGGCACAAACTGGACGATGTCACGGGCTGCCGGTACCCCCTTTGGGCAACGCAGGGGGCCATCATCTCCATCCAGGAGCCGCATGTCCGAGAAGTCAGCGTTGCCCACGCCCACGATAATGATGGACATGGGCAGGCGGGAGGCCCGTACAATGGCTGCTCGGGTCTCAGCCATGTCACTCACCACGCCATCAGTGAGGACCAGCAGTACCGAGTACTTCTGAGGGCAAGCAGAGGGAGAGCGTGGGTCGATTCCGTAGGAAAGGGCGCTGACGCTCTTTCCAAACCCGGGTCCTGACCCCGGCACCATCAGAGGACACCTGGTGCTCTGTTTTGCTTCCTCACCGTGGCTTGGCCGGTGCTCTGCTCCCGCTGGGCTGGCTCAGCCACACGGTTGATGATGGGGGCCACGTTGGTAGGGCCATAGAGCTGGATCTGAGGCAAGCAACGGCGGTAGGAGGCTATGACCCCTGCGATCTCTGTGGGCAGAGAAAAGAGATGGAGCTGGCGGAAGTCAGCAGGGCCCGCTCCAGACACAGCAGCGTGGTGATTTCTGTTTTAGGCCTGATGGCTCCTTGCTCCTCAATAAGCAGAGAGAGTCAGATGGCCCTGGGGTTGGGAGAAGTAAGTGGGCACGATGCTGGGTCATAAGACTTGGATTCTTCCCAAGGGAAGACCAGCCTTGGATGGGAGGAAGGGATGGATGGGTCAGGGAGCTGAGTGCAGGGGAGTGGAGTCTGCGGTCTTGAGATTACAGGCGTCCACGGCTGCAGGTTGGTGGGACTCTCCCAGCTTACCTTCACACTCAGGATTTTCTGGGTCGAAGTTGATGGCAAAGTCATGGGACACCTATAAGCGAGTCGGGGCTGTGAAGGGTACCTCCCTTCTGTCCTCCCCCCTACTCCCCCCCCTTCCATCTTCCTGACTCTTGTTACCCAGCCTACCTCAAAGTTTGGGGGGATTCGAGCTCCGAAGCCAAAAGCTGGAAACCGCTTATCACTGGAGAGAGGAAAAAGCTGTGGAACCCCCCGGGCAAGGCCTCCCTCCCTGCCCCACGCCCTGCCCCCCTACCTGTCATAGTCCTGGCAGATGCCTCCCACCGTGCGCAGGGCCTGCAGGTAGTGATTGGGCTGTCGGGGGCTGAGGCAGTGCAGGGATTGGCTGCTCCGTGGGTCCCCGTTGGAGGCAGTGAAGTCGATGGCCACCTGGGTGAAGGTGGGGGGGAGGGGTCACGCTGCAGCCGTGAGAACCCACAGACAGGCTAGGCCAGAGTTAGAATATGTTAAAAGGACCAAGGTGGATCTAGGGGAGCCCTTAGGTAGCCTCATAGTTGAGTAGGGTGTTGGATTCAAGGTACACGAGATGCCCAATTAAGGGCAGTGGGACTCTGGCTTCCTGCAGTTAGCATGGATTTGGCCCCTCCCTCTTTCTTAGGCCATCTCTCGGACGGGGGGTGGGGGGTGGGGTGGGGGCGTGATATGGAGGAGGGCTTTACCGTGAAGCTGATCTGGCAGCCGCCCATGATGTAATCCAGGAAGGTGTGCACTTTTTCCACCTGGGAGAGGGGCAGGGGTAATGCGGTGAGATGGTCCTTTCAGGTGGAGGAGGAGGCTTTGGCAAGGCTCCGTGGGAAAAGTGGGGATGTGGGGGGGGAGACTAGAGTTTTAAAGGTTGCAGCTGAGGATGGGATGGAGCAAGGGTTCCCAGTTCCCAGAGCAAGTCTTTAAAGTAAGGGAAGGACGGACAGACAGACAGACACACACACACATATTAACTAACTAACTAACTAACTAACTAACTAACTAACTAACTAACAAAGAAACAGCTGGAGAGCTGGCTCAGTGGGTAGAATTTCTTGTTGCCAAGCCTGAAGACCTGGGTCTGATCCCTAGGACCCATATGGTAGAAGGGAAGGACTGATTCCCAAAGTTGCCCTTTGACCTCCACGAGCGCTCTACGGCACTGATGCGTTCACACAAGCACATCCCCCCCCCAATAAATAAATATACATTTTTTTTTTTAATTAAAAAGCAAGGAAGGGCGCCGGGCAGTGGTGGCGCACGCCTTTAATCCCAGCACTCGGGAGGCAGAGCCAGGCGGATCTCTGTGAGTTCGAGGCCAGCCTGGGCTACCAAGTGAGCTCCAGGAAAGGCGCAAAGCTACGCAGAGAAACCCTGTCTCGAAAAAACCAAAAACCAAAAAAAAAAAAAAAAAAAAAAAAAAAAAGCAAGGAAGGGCACGGATCTGGGACTGTGGTAGGGCAGGGGCAGAGGACGCGTGAGTTGTGAACTGTGACCTACCGTGCACTGGGCCAGCACGACTGTCCCTGAGCTCTTGTAGTTCTTCTTCTTGTCCCGGTATTTGGGGTTGATACAATCCCACTGCATCTAGACCCACCCCACAACACAGAGAAGTCCATCAAGTAGACCTTCCTGCCTCTTCCCACTGACGGATGCTTCCAGGGTAAGACCCTCATGACCCTGTCCTTCTGCCAAGTCTGGGCATTTCCCACCCTCTCTGTCTCCCAGAGTGATGTGTTCAACGACCAACCACCCCTGTAATTTCCCCAGGGGTTCTGGGGTCTTCGGCACCTCCTGCCCAGGTTTTGCTGTCCCGTCCTGCATTTCCTGGAACGTGCTGGTGAACTCGCCGATGAAGTCATGCTTCCCGCTGGAGTCATAGTCGTATACCAGGAACTGAAGGGAGACGGAAGGCGGGGGG